CATGAACGATATGCGATGAATAATAATTTTTCATAAATTATTACCGTGTTCAACATGTTTGTAAAATTGTACCGTAAACTGTCCACAATATCCTGTTCCTCCTTCGAAATAGAGATGTTGAACCTCCCCATTAACGTATACGTTTCCTCGATCAAGATCAATTCTATATCCAACGATATGAAATCGTCTCGTATCTCACTCAAACATTTCATTGCAATCCTCACGTCTTCCAGGTCCTTTATTTCTCTGACCAGTACCTTATTCTTTTCATTTATATATTCGGTGATCCTTTTTAATTTCTCTTTATAAGTCGCAGATAACTTCTGTCCCAATGACGTCTTCCATGCGCGTGCTTCCACTAGGAATGCTAATTTCAGTTTTTCTAAAAATTCGAATTTCCCATAAACACATAAAGATCCGCTATCTATTCGTCGCTAAACAAGAAAAATGACGAAAAATATATTAGATTATTACCCATGCTAATTTCTATAGGCCCAACTACGTGTTTCTTTGGCAGATTTTGAATTTCAGCGACTAAATTGTCATACTCCACAAACTTTTCTTTGATCACCTGAGTGATGGGCTCGGAATCGACGAAATTTTGAACGATATTGTCCCTGTTTTCGGACCATATGTAGGAATACTGCAAGTAGATCTACTCGAAAAGTGATTTAAATAACTCAAATTGAGTCACATGTGTCATCCTTTGCAGCTGTATGTATACACATACAGACATCTCTCGAATAACTTGATCAATCGCTTTCACGATATTAAAATGTGTTATTCGAGACTCAGGATACGTGCAAATTTCACGTATACAGAAATTTCCGAGAGTTTCTTGAACTTTTAACATGTTATTTAATATCGATGTAGCTCAGATGTTATCCGAGATTTGCTTGTATATTTAAAATTGGATGAAAAGAAAAATAATAGTACATTGGCAATTTCATCGACGTCTTGCTTCATGGCGAAAATTGCACCTTGCAGGCTCATTACGCTACGAACTATCTCTTTATGATCTGATATGATCTGATAATAATTCTTCCCAGAATCTACAATGTCTCCTATATGAATAAGTCATTAATGTATATACGGTTATAAACATCGAAGAATTTGTTGCAATAAAGAAGTATTAAATTAAAAAAATAAAGTAACAGCAAATATGCAGCTTTGTTAAATGATGATACTATCACAATCATCGTTAATGATGTTTTCAATTCGCTATTTTCGTTTCTTCCGTGAAAAACAAACCTTGGAAATTTGTTACGATGCTTCCAGACTTTAGACTAGTAGCATAACGCTGTCCCCATGCTGTAATTCGTTTGTGATTCTCCAATAAACTAATTACTAATTTTCCAAAATAATACTGCAACTCTTCTATTGGGGGTACTATCACGATGTTTGGTATTTGCAAGACAAATGTTGTTAAAAGTATCGGTGATTTCTGATTCGACTCGTTATCTTCCATCAAATGGCTGTAGGTATAAAAAACAGAACACAGGTCATTTTTTAGTAACGTTATCTCATCAGCAAATTATAGATGCAATCGAATGAACCTTATATTAGTGACTTTTCTCTTTAATAATTCGAGGGAGTTCTTGGTGCATTTTACTAAGGCTTCTACGAGCTTATTATGGAAATAAGCAAATAATTCCATGCAATCATTGTGCACCTTGTTTATATGGACTTTACGTGTTCTCTCGATAGGGGCAAAACCTACGATTAGTTGATAGATATGGATCATTATATTTGCGAATCATACAAGATGTTTAACCCCTTAATATGACGTTTTTTACGTTCTACACAGATTACATGCCTGTAGTACTAAAATTTTACTGTAACATTATGTAGATTGTATTTAATCTCTTATGAGATGAGATCTTTTTATCAGAAAACTTTCCGTCTTAAATTAATATTTATTTTAACACAATGTTCGCTATCCTATTCTTCTTCTTATATCTTTTAGACGAAATGCGCAAATAAAAACACAATAATTACTTGCAATTAAAATCCAACAGCAAGATAATTAAATTGTTGCAACATGTGCAGCGGAATACAACAGAAGTATTAAAGGATTAATTATGTAATAAGGTAATTAAAATTAATCAAAAATGGACACCTGGCTCATATTTTCCCTTTGTCAATTTCGTCTGTGAGATATGCCTTTGTATTTTATCCGGATCCATCCAATTATATTTAACATCCTGAACAGTCTCGTCGATTATAAAATCCATAAACTTGTTAATAATAGCCGTAACAGCTTTCTCTGCTGCTGATGATTTAATTTCCAAATCAGCCGCTACTGTAAGCCCATAGGCGATATTATCGTCTAATAATTGTGTAGGAGTCTTTGCATGGTCATCGAGTTGTAGTAAAACAGCTTCTGATATGGATTCGAAAACTTCGTCAACCCTTGCTTCTTTCATGTCTTTTATCTCTTTAACAAAAATCTGCACCGATGTAAGCGAGTGCCTTATTTCGTCACATACTTCGCCAATGTTTAAGGACGTCCATGTAATTACCGATAGACAAGGTTGAAAGGCAATCTCGAGATTAACGAGAACAATTTTTATCAAAGTCAAAAACAATATTGGTATTGTTCGTCTGAAACGTAGGAGAAAAATCTGGGATGTAAGATCGTTTCCTATTATATATATAAATATTCTTATATCTAGTACAGATTAAATGTTTTTCACTGCTTTTTATTTTCTATTTATTATACAGAGTATATTTTATCGGTATAATCAAAGAGAAAATGTTATATAAAATCAAGCCATTTAAAGCTTCATTAAAAATTTATAATGGAAATATAACGATTAGATGATGACCTAATAGTCAGCAGAGTACCTCTCATTCGAGGCAGTGTACCTTAATGTATTATTTTCATCAACCAACTGTTTCACAGTTTCATACGACGAGGAGATTTTATCTTTACAAAATGTTATTATCTGTATAAAATCTGGCACTTCCAAATCAAACCTAGCCATGTGTTCTGATTCGCGTATCACCTCTATGATGTACGAATCGAAATTCAAATGATACTTATTCGTATCTGGATGTCTTATTATCAAGGGCGAAGCCAATGCCAATCGAACCTATCGATTGAAACATTTAGTAATTTAATCATAATTTTATTCATCTTATCGTATTCGACGATTATACTTACAATTTCCGAAGAATCATACCATGATTTGTGATATATCATTTCATAGTGTATAAAGACACTGATCAAGGCATTGTAAATTTTAATGCATCTCTGCATGTGATCGTGGCTAATTACTCTTCTACATTCTTTATATATTTCCATCGGGCTTTCGATACGTCTGAAAAGCTGTCGAATCCATAAAATACGACCAGCAATAGGTGGAACGTTTCGTGGTATCGGAGGATCCGATCTGTCTTCGTTGTATCTATCTCGTACATCCTCGATTTCTTTTTGAAACAACCCTGTAAGTTCTAAATACTTTCTGTCGATTCTCAGATGCTTAAACTTCAATTTTTGGAATCTATACAAATCGTATATTTGTGATGTAATAACGATTAACACTAACTTAGATTATAATGCAATATGTGAAATTTTTCTTCGTATTTTTATTAAAAATTGTAAATTTTTTTTTTTTTCTTTATTGTCTTAATGATTAGCATAAATCATATTAAAGATATTGCCAGCACTATTGACATGGATATACCATTTGTCCCATAATGATAAGATCAACCAAAAATTTTCAATTTTGATACGCTATGTTATATAAAATGATACCTTGCCACTACTCTCAAAGCTTCCGTTATGTTTGGCGTTTCCGACACGCTTTTATAGAAGAAGTTCCTTAATTCTATCTCTGTCTCTGCCACGTTTTTCTTGTAGTTATCGTAATCAGAATCAAAATATGGTTTTCTATGATTTAATGGATCATAATCTTTAGACGAAATTTCCTGAAAGAAACTCGAGAATTTGTTTGCGAATACGTCTATTCCCTCTATTGCAGAATTATAAAGAATTAGATACGTTAAAGTTGTTTGCAAAACATCCATGATCTGAAATATATTTAATTTACTTTTTATGATTTTGCTCAAAATGATAGGATTATATTATAGGATTTTAATATAATATATAGTAGGATTTAAATATTTTATCACTGACTTTTATTATTCTCGCTTTGAAGGTATTAAATTTTCCGAAAACATACATTTCAGATACTTCGAAAGGTTTTTCATCGGCAGATTCTCTCACCTCTTTGCACATTTCATTGTAATATTCATAGTATTTTTCACACAGTTTAATGCAATCCTATAATAAAAAGATTTTGTAGTAAATCGATTTACTTAGAATTTTTTTAAATTAATATTTGCCTTTATCTTGGATATCATGACTGATTTAGCATCGTTCCAAACATTTATTTTGCCATCCTCTGTTAAGTATGCTTTGCACGCTAAAATCATTTGATTCGTCATCTGGAAAATTGATAATCAAATCGTTGGAATTTTATAGAATATATGGAGATACACATTTTCATTTTTATTATGTTTCTACGATGGTACTTTTACAAAAACTGCTGTGATCATTCGGCTGCTATTAAAGAATCGAGAAGTAGCGTATATCATTCGTATAACATACATGAGAGGGGGTAAATATTCTCCCATTTTTGTTGGATCAAGCCTGTACAAAGGTTGAGTAAATTTTTCTAGTGCATACAAATATTTTACATTATCTTGTGCGAGAATTTGGATCATTTGAACGTGTTTTTCCAACAATTTCCATTTCTGTGTATCAAATCTGAATTAATTTCTAAGCTTTAAATAAAAAAGGATATCTTGTAATTAAACATACTTTTATATGTTTCGATCTTATTTTTTTTAAAAAATCTATATATTTTTGGGTAAATGGAGATTTAATGTGTTCAATAATTGATGAAAAACGAGCTAACAATCTTCTCCAGTAACTGAGTTCTGCATTTGGACCCATTGTTTCTGTTTCTCTACGTAATTGTTGACTCTGAACAATGGCCTATATATCCAAATACATATAATTTTTTAGTGGATTAAAATAAAATGCTACACTCATAAACTTTACCCGTTCCATACTTTTCATCCATAATTTAAGATTATTTTCTATAGCTTCTACAGCTTCTGGGTTAGTAAGACTTTGTTTATTATTTTCTGGCAATTCTATATACTTATGATAGGCCTCCCAATCGGTGTAAAATTTTATTGTATTTTCTAAATCTATTTTAGTCACTAAACAAAATATAGAAATAGTAGTTTCATTGTATAGATATAGATATGACTTTAAATGATTATGAGTTGTACTCTCTTACTGCTTAGAAATTCACAAAAGTCTCTAAAATCACAAATAAAATTGTTCACAACTTTGTCACCAGTTTCACATTTTGACAATTCACCCCATACTTTATTAGCAATTATTGCTGGTAAATTTAGCCTTAAAATTAAATCTGATATGGCTGCAAGTGCACTTCGAGATACTGGGTCAACTTCTGCATATGCATAATATGCTTCCTGTTCAAGAATTCAGATTGAGAATACATTATAATGTACAGAAACAGTTTTGCACAACCATACTGAAAACCTACTTCATGAAGATGCTTTGTTTCAAAATCAATGTCTGATTTCAATCTATAAACTATAACACATTTGCCAGAAAGTTGTTCTGTAGAACCATCAGTAACACAACAACGTATTACTTCAGTTTCACGCTCATATTGTGGATTCCATCTTCCTGATTCTATTTTTTTTTTTATATATATGTATATGTACATATATATATATATATATATATACATATATACATAGATGTATGCATATGTGAAAATGCAAAGGAACACTTGTTTTTCTCAGAGAATGCAGTCGAATGCAGATTGTACCTTTATACGTATTTCATTGTTCGCGCGCACCGTTCGCGTCGCGTCGAGAACACGGGCGACGATTAGCCAAAACGAAGAAGCCGTATCACCAATATTCGTCGATCGGGAACGAGTTCTTTCTTTCACGATCGAAACGACCCATTTTTATCGATGAAAAAATCGAGCCGACACGTATTTCTTAAGAAGCGCATTCGCGACAACGTTCTCACCGTTCACGACTGACGAAAAATTTATTCTCGTAGTTTAAAAGAAGCACGCATCAGTTTCGCGTGTTCGTCGTGACGCGAACATTCGTTTGTATCATTTCTCTTCTTTAAATGAAAAATAAGTATTCTATATATATTATTTATATATATATATTATATATATATACATATAAATATTGATTATATATTCAGATTAAAATTTAGAAAAATATGTATAATAAAAGAATAATTTATGATACCAAATGGAGGTGGTTCCATTGGTTGATAGTGTATAAGAATTGCACGCTTTCCATCTTTAAGGAAGAAACTATCAAGAACATTGATATATTCGTCTTTATCAATGATTCCTTCTTCTAAAGTATCTGGATCTACATTTAAAATAAAAGCAGCAACTTCCAAGACCTGTCTATGGGTTGCTTTAAGCAATGCTTGTCTAGCATTTCGATTCTCCTTAAATTTGGCCTATTTATACAATAAAATAATAAAATTTAAATGAAATAGTCTACTAAATAATATTTATATTTTCTAGTAAAATTGACAATTTGTAGTAGTTTGTATGCTTTACATACAAGTCGTTCTTTTAAACTTTCAGTAGGTAATTCTTCTAAACCGACTCTTCTTTTTAATAATTCAGCAATGCGACGATCAATCGCAGGTTTTGTATAATCTCGAGCTGCAAAATATGCAGTTATGTGTGCCATTATCTTAACACATGACAAAAAGTCTCATTACATTTGGTATAAAGTGAACATCAAAGTATGTGTAAAAATTTGAATAAAGGAGAAAAAGCAATTTTTATCGGGTGTATAAAAAAATGTCTGGATATATAGAAATTATGCAAAATTGTAAATTTAAAATAAGAAATATGAGGACTTATGTATTATCGAAAGATAAGAAAGATAAGAAAATTCATTTTAGTATATTTTTCTTTTATTTATTTATGCTAATATAAATTTCATGAAGTTTTCGTAGATAATTATGCACAAATAAATAAGCAATTTAAAATTTCATTCGGAGATGCGCATTCAAAACAATAAGCATGCGCATTAGAGTTACTGTGCACATGCAGTTGCAGTGCACGTCAAATTAGAAAGGTTACAGCAGACAGCATAAATAAAACTATATCTACAAGGAATAATATTACGATCAAAAACAGTCAATTGTAAATCATTCAAAGTGGCATTGCTTCTTTTTCTATTAAATTAAAATTTCATTACGAAATATACAAGATATGTATTTTTAAAATATATTTTTATACTTGAATTTAATGCATGGCCAACTGCCGATGTTTAATAAGGTTAATATGTATTTTCTTCACACTTAATAATAGCATATTATAATATTCGTCTTCGTATTAATATGAAAGAAGAATAAAATATGTTTTTCAAAGCGACTATTGATTCTGTTAACCCTATTTCACTTTCCTCATAAAAATGTTCAAAATTCAATTGCTTTAAGAATGAAAATGTATTGTTAGTAGAATTGTCAAATATTTATATTGAACTTTCTTTGCTATTTATATTGTATTTCTATATATATTGAATCTATGTTAAAGTTAATAATTATCTATATTTTACTTTTAATCTTTAAATAATTTTACCATTTCCAGATAAACTTTTGCATTTTTAAATATTATAAGTGGTCAAATATTCATTTTTTCTTATTATTATACCTGTTACTTCTACCAATATATTTGGTAAGCGTATTTAATCAATTGACGGACTAAAAAAATAAATTATTAGAGAGTTTTAGATTTACATAAATTTATTAAACCTACAAGAGTATGTGGAATGTATTGAGTTATCAATCACAATGTTCAAATTGGAATCATATATAACACCAGTGATTCTCAGTTATGTGGAAAAGTATGTGAAAAATTTTAAACCAGAACAATCTCAGGTATGTATATATGTTTTACATAATAATGAGTCTATATTTATTTTCTTCGCATGTGTTTATTATCTCATTTTCAGGTTTCCTTATGGGGTGGTGATGCATCATTTCAAAACCTTGATCTACGACTAGAAGTTTTGGAAGAACAACTAAATCTTCCCTTTGTTTTTGTTAGTGGTCATATACATGAATTACTTATTCATGTTCCTTGGGTAAAAATTACTTCAGAGCCAATTGTGATTACCATTAATACAATAGGTAAGTATTGGATAACATGATTGACACTCGTTACAAAACTGAATACATAGAAGTGAAACTTTAATCTTTATTTCAGAATGCATTTTAAAATTAAAAGATGATAATAAAGTGGAGACCAATCCTACCACCTTACAGAGGAGGCAAGAGATACCGCAGTAAGCAACCTATTATTATTACTAAAACCACATATTGTGTTATAATCATTCGTATCTGTTACTATTTAATTTCTAGGGAAGAAGCTCCCCCTGGATACATAAAAAGCATAGTAACAAAAGTTGTAAATAACATAACAATTAATTGTAATAATTTAATTCTAAAATATGTGGAAGAAGATATTGTTCTTAGTGTCAATGTCAGATTTTTAAGCATGCAAACTGTTGATAACAAATGGGAACCAGCATTTACAGGTATATATTCCATGTTATGTTTCTAAGAGTTTCTAACAGTATATTTTAAATACATACACATGTTTCCTTTCAGATGTTAACACATATGAAGTTATGCTTAGGAAAGTTATTACTATTCAAGATTTAACATTATGTTTAGATAAAATGGATGCATCTGGGAAAATAGAAATATATCAGGTATTAACTACTTATTACAATTAACTGAAAATTTTGAGCAATAAGATAAGAATATAAAAATATCCTATTTTGTAATTTAGGATCCTGTCCTATATCGATGTTCGGTTATAATACGTTTAATCATAAACTACCATAGTAATACTGCAAGAAAAGCTTCAATTACACGATTAGATCTTCATTGCCAAAAAATGGAATTCAGTATAACAGAGCAACAAGTACCAATGTTACTTAGATTAGCTGCCTTAATAATGGCTTTGCAAACAAAGCAATTTCCATCTAGTAAAGAAAAATCGTTAATTTCTGTAGAAGAAAGGGAGGACAGTATACAAGGTTTTGTTTCATTTTACTCCATACAAGATACAGCTATATGATATCATTTCTATATACATACTTCGGTATTTAATATTATAGATGATACAGATCATGTGAGTGGAACTGCTGCAGACAGTACAGGATGGGGTGGATGGGCTTGGAACATGGTGTCATCTTTGTTACCTATTGATTGGGAAAATGACTGGTCTACAGAGCAGCAAATGGCTTATTCTGGACATACCATTCATTTAGGCGTATATGTACAAGATGCGACTTTAACTTTTAAGGTACTTATCTACAATAAGATAAGCGGGGAAAATAAAATATAAGTAAATAATTTTTATTTTTTCTTACGTATATAGACAGTTGAAAATGTTAAAGAACAATTGTTTTATAAATCCCGTAAACTTCGGTATAAATCGTTTTTAACATTGCGATTAAATGGTGTGGTAGTGGATACATTGCTCCAAGGAATTGCAATGACTAGTTTTCAAATTGGAATGGGTTGCATACGCGTATATCCAAGAGGAAGTTGTAGTTGTGGTCATCTTGAAGTAGTCGATGGGGCACAAGTAATATTTTATACTATAACTTCTAAATATATTTTATTCAAACTGCAACGAATAATATAATAAATTATCTTGTTTAGCCACCTTTGTATTTAGTAGCTGGCAAGTTTAATACACGGTACTTAAAAGATTCATTATTTGATGATGAATCAGTGGAGAATAAAGGAAGAAAACGGGAATATAAACAAGGAATATATTATTATCTATGTACAGCTTCAGGTAATAAAACTTTGAATCTATATTCATAATTTTAGATTTTATAATAAATAGTTTTATAAAACATGCGTAGAGGAGCGGTTAATAGAACGATGTCCCGCATTCTCCATGGATTACGTTCATTGCACCGAATTGCCAGATGACATAACACCTGAAAAACTGGCAGAGTTTGGGTCTAATTTTGAATATAGGTAACTGAGTTCTCTCTCTCTCTCTCTCTCTCTCTCTCTCTCTCCCTCTTTCTCTCAGAAAATTAGAAAAATGTAATATAAATACTTATAATTCTTTTTCAGTAATTTCCACGAACGTAGAGTAATGAGATATATTATAGGCGATTTAACTATTAGATTATGTTCGGGTGTTTTTCATCGTATTGAAACAATAAAACAAGCTGCTGCAAATTATGATTACAATCCTTATCTGGTTACAAAACTAGGTATATATTCAATTACAATTATATGAAAAAAAAACTTGTTTAGAAAATTATCATGTATAAATTGCAGATCCACTCGTAGATGAACTCCCCCCAGTTACATTGGAAGAATATGAAGCATTAAGAGAAAATGTATCTATGGTTGAGACAAAATTAATAATAGTTAAAGCCTCACTTCAATTGCAATTGGCAGATCATTCTATTACTGGACTTCCACGACAACGAAAGATAGTTGAAAGTCGAGTAAGTACTAAGTGGTCTAATATACATAAACATAATAAATAATTTTTATGTTACTATTATTTATTCCTTTCATATTATTTTGTTAGACGACGCCTTTAACACCTGCTCTTACAGACGATCCTTTCATGAGCATTGAATGTGATGAAGCGATAGTAACTATACTTCAACCTTTATATCCATTTAGGCTTGCAGCTTGTGCATCCAAACAGACTGATCTTCCAACTGAAATGTTTAATCAGTGTCATAAGATTATTACATTGCAGGTAATGGAGAAGTTACTTCAATGTATGCGCGATTATCTTTCTTTTCTTTTTTTCTTTTTTATTTTATTTGTATATAATTGTATAATAAAATACGCGTTTAACTAGGTAAATGGAACCAGAAGTCAACTTTATTTGACGAAAAATTGCCATACATCAATAATAATGCCCTACTCCATCGAATGTGAAATCAAGAAATTATTGTATCCGCAGTATTGGAAAAATGTCGATTTAATACATGAAATATACGCAGTACATATTGACAGCATTACAGTTACTGGAACAAAGGCAAAGCTAATGGCTGCTGTATCTATCTTAACTTCAATTTTTGACGCTGGTGATACAACTAATCCTCTTGTTTGTTCCTCTTTATTCAATGATGCTTGTCAAGAAACAAGTATGTACTATACTACCATATCAATTGATCAATAACTTTTTAAACATTATATATCACAAACATTTCAGACCCTGTATATCTAGAATTGTTACTGGAAAACGTAAATTGCAAAAAGTTGTCATCTTTGGTTACAATATCAAATGAATTAAATATAAGTTCGGTAAAAATGTTTGCACTCAATGAGTCACAGCAAGCCTTTATATTTTCAGGACCAGAAAGTAATATTTACTGGTTAGTATCCTTTAAATATTCTGGTTATAAATAAATTGATAATATCTTTTATATTTTAGTGATGTAGAAAACAAATCATTACTAACGGTTGTAATACAGTTTCCGCAAAGTATTGAAAGACAAACGCATCCACCTTTGATTTCACTTCAAATGGCAGATATCAGGGCTTCACTTGATCCATTACTTTTTAAATGGCTAGAATATCGTGTTACGTATTATAATTTAGGTACCTTATGTACCACTCGACCCGAAATCCAACAGTTTGAAGGTGCGTCATCAGATACTGGTACAAAGAAAAAAACATTTCCCAGTTTACACGAAAGTGTACATAGCTCCTCAGACAAAGAAAAACGAAAATCCGTCATAGCCACGGAAAAGTCAAAAACTGTACAAAATGATGAAATGCAAAAAAAACATGATTC